GGGGGTGTGGCATATGCTAATAAGTTATGCTAATGAGTTCCCCTAGCTCTTTTTCTACGAAACAACCCCTGCTTACTACGGTGAATTAGGAAAGTCCATGGAAAAAGGCATTCATATACCATCCCAAGACAAAAGACAAGCACTGTAGATGACATACAACCCCACCTCGAGTATAGGAATGGAAATAATTTTACCTTATTAGAATGACGGGGGAGAAGTAGTTAGATTTATACCTCGCCCTTCACTAAGAGTCTCAGTACGGCTTACAATCTCCTTCCCTTCCTCTCCCCACAACAGACACCCTGTGAGGTAGGTGGGGCTGAGAGAGCTCTGAGAGAGCTGCTCCTGAGAGAACAGCTCTCACAGAACTGAGGCCGACCAGCTGGCTGCTTGTGGAAGAGTGGGGAATCAAACCCACTTCTCCAGATTAGAGTCTGCCACTCTTGACCACTATACCAAACTACACCAAACTGGGTGATGTTTTCTTCCTGTGGTAGCCTTTTACCTCACATATTCTCCTTGGTCTTAAGTATGCAGGGCGCTGACTGTGGAAGGGGGAACTGAAAAGCTTCACTGGGCCAGCGGAAAACCACACATGGTGGTTATGATTACAATCCATATAAATAATCAGTTACAAGTAGGCACTAATCTATAATTTTTTTAAAAAATACTGTCATTGTGATTATGCATTGTGAGCTGCCTCGAGGGTCCACTGGAACTATAATGCAAGACACAATTTGAGAAAATAAAAAGTCAGATAATAACACTATCAGGTAGAAAATCTACAGCCACTGCATTCAATGTATCACTGACAGTAAACTCTTTGTCAAGTGGCATTATCCCATGAGCAAAGAAGAAAGGAGAGATAACTGCTAATCTTTTGTCACCTATAAATGGGGATGCAGCAAAGTAAGAATATTGTGTTTCTTTAATAAAATAAATAAAACACACTTGATGGGGTACTGGCTTGCCAAGACCCAATTTTAGATGTTTCACCCAAAGAACTGGGAGCGGAATGAAATAACTGCAAGAGCACTGTGCCAGAAATACTGGTGTACACATTCATGCAGGATTATAACAACTGGGTTCTACCCATGCAAAAGATTGAAGAAGTTCTTATGGAATATCTTACAGAAAACCACCTTTCCTGCACTCCCAAGAAGAAAGAAAATCAATGTATTAAGAAAATAAGGGTCAAATAAGGGTCCTCTGTGTTTATCTATTCCCCCAAAGGAAAGTAATTAGATAACGTGAGACAAATAGCCTTGAAGGCTGCAGTTAGCTAAAATATCTGTTTGCTAGACAACAGATCAGTTTATTACCCTGTATTAGAATACTACAAGGACAGCCTCCAGAAAGCATCAGCTTCACTGTGGAAGTTTACTTGCAATCAAACTCTCCATTGTTTCTTCCCCCAACCATTCTGTCAAAAGGAATCTCTTATTAAAAAGATCTTATGCAGTAACTTAATTCATAAAAGTAGATGCTGAAATATGTAAGGGGGGGGGGAGATGCAGAAAGGACTTATCCTTTAATTCTGCCTCTTCTTAAATCCCTTCCTGAGCTTTTGTTTTGGATGCCATGCTTGCTTACAGAAGACATTTATCTCAGACCACATCTTTGTAGTGCACCCGCATTTTACTATACATTAGATTTGTAAAGCTGGTCAGTAGCACAAAAGTAAGCATGTTAATGATTCCAGTAGAATTGCATCAAACCAACCTGATTCCAAGACCTTTCTGAAGCTTGCTGCTGTTCAAGGGACATATCTGTGGTTTCTTAAGCCACGTGCCTTAAACAAATACCTTTACACAAGAGCATGTTTGAAGTTCTGGTATTCCCAGCACCATATCTGGGGGCATTATGACAGATTCTAATATCTGAAAAATGCTCAGAAGTCTTTTTACCACCGAGACTCAGGATGCTGCTGCCTAGACAGATTCTCCATATTAGAATCTTAACCCACAAAAAGCTAACATTTTTTTGGGCAGTCCATTAGCCGTAGCTATAAAAGTTAGGCTAGATGGGGCATTCACCACCATAGCACTTGAAGACTGTTGAATCAAACCTCCTCCTGTAGATGCAACATTTGTTTGTGGACGGATCCCCGTATGACACAACACAATCCTTTTGCACCACCCTCGCCTCCTGCATGCATGTGTGGGTTCCCAGTATGCCAGACATTATAATGTGCAAACAACTGTCAGCCTCAAATTCTTTGGCAGGGGATGCTGTTCCACAGCAAAGTGGTACCCACCAAGCTGAAGAGAAGATACTTGTAATCACATCTGGTGGAAACAAGGTGACGTTTCTCTGAATCTGCAGCAAGTTTAATACCAATGCCAGAAAGACGCCAATTAAAAAGAGGACTATCCCACGGATCGCCAAGTTCAGGCTGCGGCTGGTTACTGAAGGAATGTATGGGCCACACTTCTTTCGTATGGAAGGTTGTATGTTGTCATCTGCCATGGCCTCATGCATTTCATCAACATTCAACGCAGAACTCTGGGGTCCAGAGAAGAAGATGAGCCAAGTCGAAGAAATATTTTCACACATTCAGGAGGTACTCCAAATCCTGTTCAAAAATGGTAATGTTGCTTAAGCAGTCATAGAATATACATACACTTTATGGAATCAACATAGAGGTCTAGGCAACTGGTATTTGGGGGGCCAAATTCTAGGTGCTTGATAACAGAGCCCAGAATACTCTCCAAAACATAAGGACCTATTAGTTATCTTTGGCACTCATTTCACTGCACAGGTATCAAGTTCTTTAACATACATGCAAGTAAATACATGCACACAAAGGGTGAACAGTAAAGAAGCTTCACAGAATTTTCCATATTCATGACCTTGAATGCCAGTGCCTTGGCTGGTTTGCACAACATAGCCAACCCCTGGAACAACATATTGGGAAAAGTGCCAAAGCCTTGTGTTGTTATTCACACTGCGCAGGGGATTAAAACAGCCTTTCGCCTATGCTTTGGTTTACATGGAAGTGAGCAGGCAAAGTTCTGCACTTGTTGGCGCAACTAAAAATGTTCTCCTTTTAAAAATGGTTGCCATCCAACTGATATGTACAAAGATCCATCTTGAACAATTCTACCAATTTTCACCAAAACTTAGTCAATTCTGCAATTAAAAGATATAAGAATCATATTATCATCTGAAGACAGTGGTAAGCAGGTGATCCTATGTTAGTTATGATGCTCCAATTCTGCAATTAAAAGACATAAGAATAATATTATCATCTGAAGACAGCAGGTGATCCTATGTTAGTTATGATGCTCAGAATGTTCACATTTCATTTTTTTAATACATTCCTTGTCCTCCTGGTTGTGAATGAATGTTCACAAGCAATAGTGGTTGGGATACTACAATCTCTCTCCAGTACCAGAGGTAGTGTGCCTCTTTAAATCAGTTGCTGCGGAGCACAGGGAGGATGATGCTGTTGCAGACTTCCTGTTTGTAGGCTTTCTAGAGGTAGCCACAGTGTGAACAGAATGCTAGACTAGATGAACCTCTGGTCTGATCCAGCATGGCTCTTATGCTCAGCCTTCTCCACTAAGTATGGACTCTTCTTCTTGCATAAGAAATCTTCATTTAAAAAAGCAAGACTCCACACTTAGCTGAACAGAGCAGTAGGATCCAAACCAGATTAGAAAATCTACTAAACCATAAATCAAATCAAATTAAAGATTATGTTTACTAATTGCATAGTTTCATTCATTCAAGTTATTCATTACCATTATCACTTCAGGAATTACTTCAGAATTTTTTAACATTTGAGATTAACAACACCAAGGCTTTCAGATTACACCGATTGAATTCTGCAATTCAGTTATGAGTATTAAGTAGCTGAGAGGCATCTAAATTCCCTCCACACTTTAAAAATGGACTCTGTGGTTTAATAAACTGCTTAAAAATATTATACCCTGCATAAATCATGTCTTCAAACTAGCTTACATTGCTAAACAGATAAAGCAGATAATTGAAAGAATCTTAGAATGGCAATGGAAGATGCTGCTTTGACAGGTAAAATGGGACATTTGCATTACTTTGACATGGCAAAAGATGAGTGTCTTAGAAGTCTGTTGTTGTTTGCAGGGGAAAAGAACAGTCTTTGATCTTTAGACAAAGTCAAATACATCAACAAAAGAACAGAAGTATGGTCCAAGTTTTAAAGGGCGGTGTCTCAAAATAAGTGCTCCAAGATTTCATGTTTAATTTTATGGTTTCTCAACAGCCACCATCTAGCAGATGATGAAAACAGGCAATAGAGAAATAAACCAACTTATATACAGAATATGTATCTCCATCAACTGGAGTATTATTCAAAATAATAACATCATCTAGAAATATTTACAACACATTTTAAAAAGAAAAGTCAGAAGAAAAGATAATAAATTGAAGGATAACCTACAGTGCATCTCTCATTACACTCCCCTCCCCTCCCCTAGATTTTTGTAGTTATCTTCAATGGAAAACACCTGGATGGGAAAACATCCAGATCTTGAGACCCACCAGAGGAACACACATCCAGCCCCATTCATTTAAGTCATAAATATCAGAGATGGTGGAACACTCACCAGTTTGGTTAATGGCCAGTTCGCCAGTCACAAAGAGGGAGCTGATTTTTCAGTGATCAGTTGGCTGTTCATTTACCCATTCGTGACTGTTTGGGCAGTTTGCTTCACTGTATTCCTTCCTAACCATGCAGTACAGCACAACTGGCTTTTCACACATACACACACTCACACAATCTAATTGTTTTACTACCCTACCTGCCTTGCTCTGTAACTGCTCCATCCAGCAGAGGCAGTTGTTTAAATAAACAAATCAGTTATAAATTACATAAAGCAGTCATAAATAAATCCTTCACTGTTCACCTGAGTAGCCACTATTGACACTAATAGTTATTAAGTGGTTTGAATTGGCAGTGTCTTTCTACATACACAGCTTTACAAAAACTCAATGTAAACCTGTTTAAGGCATTCACCTCTATTTGTCATGAACCAAATAGGCTAGGTGATCAACCCACATCTGATAGACATCTTTGAACATAAGTTCAAGCTGTTGTGAATTCAGAGCTATAGATGCTTTGTGATGTGTCAAACAATCCCTGAAACCATGGCAACTGTTTATTTCCACAAGGTAAGGGCAATAAAATGCACCAGAGGGTCAGAGAAAACAGGAAAGGGGTTTCAGCTGGAGATAGCCATTTGGCTTACCTGCCAAGGGGGGAGGATGTCTGACTGTTGTAAAACATGACCTGTCGTACAGAGAATGAAGTACCTGACATCTAAACTGATTGGGGAAGAGTTTGGGAGTATCTCCCAAGAGGGCAGGAGCCCTAAATCTGGATTGGGGAAGGTGCCCACCAAAGCAGGCAAGAAGATTCAAGAGGTGGAAGCCTCCTTTGTTCTTCATTCAAATGGTTTGCCCAGATGCTGTGACCCTACACTGAGACCCAGGTTCCTCTGTAATGGCTCAGTAGAGGGTCTGGTAATGTGTTTGCTCCATCAAAAGTAATTGTCTTGTAGTGTAACTGTGGTACGATTTCTTTTCACCGGTATTTGTCAGTTCAGGTCTATTGGACCCCAAAATATTCTCGGATTCCCAGAAAACCCTGGACTTTTCGGAAATCCCAAAATTTCTCCAATATTTTATTTATTTATTTATTTATTTGATTTTTTTATCCCGCCCTCCCGCCGAAGCGGCTCAGGGCGGCTTACAACAATAAAAACAACAAAACAATACCTCTAAAACAGTCTATACAATGCATTAAAATCAAAATTTACATACAATACAACGTACTCATGGCGGCAGCCATAAAGTGCTTTCATGCTTGGTCTAAGTTATTAAATGCTTGGCGGAATAACTCCGTCTTCGCCGCTTTCCGGAACTGGCCGAGATCCTGGAGGGCACGGATCTCATGAGGGAGCTGGTTCCATAATATTGGTGCTACCAAGGAGAACGCCCTAGTTCTAGTCGATGTTAATTTGGCATCCCTAGGGCCAGGGGGGACCAGACGGTCCTGTGACTCAGATCTCAGTGCTCTTGGGGGAACATATGGGAAAAGGCGGTCCCGCAGATAGACCCAAAACTGAAAATTGCCAATAAAAAAAAAAATACCAGCCTGATCTGGGGTCTGGCTTGGCTTCTGCACCCCGGTACCGAGGGGCAGGAGAGTGCAGCGCAGAGCTGTACCTGCAGGGAGCAGGCACAGCATCCCTAGCTGGGCTGCCCTTCCCGACACCCAGTTAAACCGGGCAGCAAGAGAAGACAGCACAGAGCTGATCCCGGCTGGGCTGCCCTCTCCTGACTAAGAAAGTGCAGAGCTGCGCCAGCAGGGAGCTCTCAACTCCCCACTGACCCAGCTGATCTCAATTCCCAGCTCCCTGCCGCCCCAGCTGATCCTCAGGCTGACTCCTGCAGTTTAAAGGGACTGCATAAGCTTGCCCAACAAGCAGCTGTTTGTCTGCTGTTTTCAGAACCACCCCAAATTAACTGGGAATTTTTTTCTCGGTTTTCCCAAGAAAACATGGATACATTTGGGAAGCCGAGATATATATCTGACAAATACTGTTATTTTTCAGGTATATGTTTGGGTAGAGTAACCAGAGTACCCAAAGGCACCGGTTACAGGATAGGCTGGATTTTGTCACGGGATGATGGCACAAGAAGAGGGAACATGCTTTTTCATGCAGGCAAACCCACATCATGTGTGTAAGAACACAGAGACCTAGGGCAGATTTGTAATACAAACATGTTCGTGGCAAAATTCACTGCATTCCTAATGAAGATGTGATCTACAAACCTTTGTGACTTCTGTCTACAGACCTAACCTGAGATACCAGAAACAGTGTTTAATGCACTCGATCTGTACCACACAGGGATTTATGCAATCCAGTTGTACAGTCCTAAAACTTTTATGTCCTTTTCAGCTATGACTGAGCAGTTTCAAAGAGTTAATATCTAACTGAAGTAACCATTAAATGGAAAGCACTAAGCCGATATACAAAAGGAAGAGACTCAAAAGAGTATAGTGAAATAGACTGAATTATCTAATTCTAGAATAAGAAGAAAACAGCCTTCAGCTGGTTTTCTCAATGATGGCAAAAGTAGGAGGCAGTGGGGGGGGGGGACAACATGGCCTCCCAATTATCCTGGCATTTAGGAAAAACTATACTGATGCTATTTATAGGGGAGGGACACAGAATACTATTTATAGCAAAAAAAACCCCGCTATGATTATGGTGGCACAGAACAGCATACAGCCCATCCACAAGTTTATGAAGAGACTGCAGGTTACAAGTGACTACTTACAGGAAGTCTATATAACAGGCACGTCCAACTTCGAACAGGCAGTAATCTATTTTTTCCGGCCAAAAGTGCCCGGTGATCTACCACCATGAAAATAAAGTTTCAAATTAGTTTCAAATTAGATTTTAACCCACTAAAGTTGGGTTCCACCGCCCGCCCGCTCCCCCATTTATAATGCACCTTCTGTCATTTACTGGTAAGCAAAATTCATCATACTGGCACCAATAATCAAATACCACCAAACAATCA